GTGCAGAGCAGTTTGATCAAGTATGACCAGGTTGGGCACATAGCGGGCATCTGGCTGTGGAACGGCAATGTTTGGCAGGATGTCCTAAACGCCAACAATTTTGGCACTGACGGAGGTTGATATGGTCAGACAGGGAGGGATTCTCTGCCAAAGTAAACATTAACCACATGCCACCAGGGAAAATTAATAAAAATTGGGCAAAATGCTGTGCTCATTATTTATATTTTTGTGAAATGTCTGCATATAGATGACTCTGCTAGTGCTTATCCACAATAGAGTCAATTAGTAAACCATGTGAGCGTACTTAATTTCACCTTTCCTTGAATTGGCGGGAAGAACGTATTTTTACTAATGCTGTGAATATCAATTGTTATTTTTATTATCGAAAATATAATTACTGTTATAAACATTAGTAACAGCAAAACAAGATAACGTAAGATGTAATCAAGGAAAAGAGTAAACGAGCGAGACAGGCAGTACTCGTAACTGGCTCATTGGTGACTAGTACAAGTGTAGCCATCTGTGTGTAAAAACAAAGTAAACTCACAGTATGTATGGCATATGCATACATGTCATGCTCGTCGGCAGTGGGTTAAAGGGAAGGTCATATCTACGGAAAGTCATTTTGGCAATGTTAGTAGGGTTCTTACAATGACCTCTGGGAGGAATGGAGTAGCATTGTACTGATATCGCACCATAGTCCGTGAGACAGGCGAGTAATGTAATGTAATTCACAATCTGACCAATTTTTATTATAGATAGGGCAGTTTGCTGGGGAGATAGAGACGGTTCCAGTGCAAATATTGAGGGTTGGATGGTTCTGCAGGAATAGGGTTACCAGAGAGATCAGTTAGATTTGATAATGTTATAGCTTTGCTTTCAGATGTTACTGTGACAAGACGGGAACGGTCGGGTCGGCGACGGACAGAGACACTGCCTACTTGTTTTTGGAGACATTGCTGGAAAAGAAGTGTTATCAGAAAAGGGAGCTATGGGAGAGACCACGAAAAATCGGTCACATTTGGCTGGGCTAAATAGTGGAAGATTTTTGTAGAGATGGGGGTAGAAGCAGCACTGGGGCGTGTGGAAGAGGGAGTAGTGTTAAGGGAGGTTGTATTATGGAGAGGTAGACAATAAGGCTATAACGTAGTTATAAGGGAGGATAGGGTAGTTGATGAAGGTTGTGGGGGTAGAGGTGATGAAGTTGAGCATGTTGAGACAGTAGGAATGTCTCCTGAGAGTTAAGTGTTGATTTGGGTGGATAATGTACTGGTAGGTATTGAGGAGGGGGTAGTGGTCATAGTGTTCGGAGCAGTAGTCAAAGGAGAGCCTGGGGTCGGGGAATCAGGAGAGTTTGTATTGGTGGGGCCATTTGATGAAGGGGAAAGCCTCACTGCCCCTAATAATGGTACATCATCTTCATTATTGGTAAGCCTAGAGTATATTGGGGAGTGAAACAGTCCACCCCTCAGGGTCCCCATGAGGAGTAAGGGCTAGACAATTAAAACGGGAATGCCGTGCCCATGGCTCCCTCAGGCCGTTCAGGACTGGCACAAAGTCAGTCTTTAATCCTTTAGGCACGGCTCTCACACCTTAGAAAGTGGATAATTGAAGGGGTTGGGGAAGGGACAGAAACAAAAAAGCAGGAGGGGCTGAGGCCCAGGGGGGCGGGGGGAATACACAGGTAAATGAAACTACTAACATACACTTGAAAATAGTATTGTTTTCTTTTACATTAACCTTATGAGATTATATCAAATTCCAGGTATTCTGTGCATTCCTAACATCCTTCTCCTCTAGTACAACCCAACACCAAAATCAACTTGTACTGAAATACCTGCATGTGTCACTTTATACAAAATAGGGAAAAACTTATCAAAAAAGGAACCTAGGATAAAAACGTAGTTTGGCCACTGTAGGCAAATTATATGAATAGAAAAAAATACATATTTTGGGGTGTTATGCTTTTGTAACTTGTAATAACATTTACTTCATGGAAAGAAACTGGATGTCTAATTACTTTTTCACTGCCTTTAATTCAGTATACTAACCAATTTGAAATAATAATAATAATAATAATAATAATAATAATAATAATAATAATAATAATAATAATAATAATAATAATAATAATAATAATAATAATAATAATAATAATAATAATAATAATAATAATAATAATAATAATAATAATAATAATAATACAAAGGAAATGATCTCTGAACAGTTTAATGATGATTCAGCCCATAAATGTAGCCATAAAAATGAAAAATTTTCCCAAACTAAATACAAAAAAATTAAAGGGCATTTATCAAAGAAAACTGCTACTGTCAGTCTTTTCCAAAGTACACAAGTTCATTTTTTTCACTATATGCTCAAAACCTTTTAAAATCAAGGTGGTTTCAAATACCACCATTATATAAACACTTATAAATACTCAGTTTGTACCAAGGACTGTTTAAAAATTATTGCACTACATATTAAGTAATATTTGCCCTAAATGGAACACTTCATAAAGGATATCTTAGCCCATAACATAATATAAATACTCTCAATCTTCCTATTACATAGTCTCTTGCAGCAGAGAATCATATAGTGGAAATGAATAACAACTTATAAACCTCAGTAGCAAAATATTCAGATGTTTTTCTTACTGTCAAAAAAATTAAATGTTTTTTTTTTTAATCAGAAATGCACAGCCAATGAACACACTTCACAAATCTAATCCTAAATCAATAAAGATATTGTTTATGTGTATATAAAGATAATGTGGAGGTATATACAGATATAAATAACCTAGTGGAAGGCTTAAATTTGGCTCTTCTGATACTTTTAAACAAGATAATAATCATCTTATCAATAGACCTACAACTAAACCTTACTTAAATCCACTTTGACTGAGCTTTTCCCATTCCCCTTACCTGACCCACCCACCGAAAAAATAGTTCAGGAGCAACATACTGGAAATTCAATATATACATTGTACATTTACTCTTTTACCCAAGCCTCCAGGGTGTACAACAAGGAGGGGATATACCTAACACGCAACACTTCCACACACAATGGCACATCAACTATTTACAATTATACAACTAAGTTTAAATTTAATATTATCTCTTCTATCTCTCCATTTACATTATACTCATTGCTGCTCAACTTTTCCACAAGGGGAGAAAGTTCAACTAAGACAACCCAAGGGTTCAAGCCTGTGGTCATTTGGAAGTCCCATGCCATTTCATTTTCCATTTTTTTTCTTTTTTTGCAAAAATAAAATAAACTGGCTATGACAATAGTACAACCTTTAAAAAAATGACAGCCATTTTTGTAGTGTTACAAACTGGTAAGCGCCTCCTGTTCTTCACACACATGATACCATGATTATGGCAATACTAAGGTATGTATAAGAATAGAAGCAATAAATTCTAAAAAAAAAAACATAATTGCCCCTTGAATGCAAATCGGTACTCCCATGAAATAGCAGTCTGTGTTGCTTAAACTAGAAAAAAAAAAAAAAAAAAAAAAAAAAAAAAGACTCCAGCAAAATCAAATAGTATTTCTGGGTCACAGGTAAATAACAATCTCTCTGGCTTTAACCCATGAACACCACAAATATTAATGGGTCAATAACCACATAGTATATTACCACACTTCCTGCCCTTTTAGGAAAATAGAAAAAAGGTACAGGAAGGGAATAAAGCTTGCATCATCATAAGTATAGTCTTCCTGTTTAATAATGAAAAAGAAATCAAGTGATGGTGGTGAAAATTACCAGTGATGAATGTGATCACAAGATGCTGCTTAGCAGTTTAACTTCACAAAAGTAGAAAAAAAAATTAAAAACATAAAAAATTACACAATTTTTTTTTTTATCAAATGAAAACATTTTACAATACAACAAATATGAACAAAAAACCAATGAGTAATAGTAACAAACAATAATTGAAAATTAAGTGCAACTGGTTAAGAAGTTGCAATGAAGACCAATAATAATATTAATTATAATCCTAAACATGGTAATAATGATAAAAGAAAAAAAAAAAAAAAAAAAAAAAAAAAAAAAAAAAAAAAAAAAAAAAAAAAAAAAAAAAAAAAAAAAAAACTTAACTCCAGCAAAATCAAATAGTATTTCTGGGTCACAGGTAAATAACAATCTCTCTGGCTTTAACCCATGAACACCACAAATATTAATGGGTCAATAACCACATAGTATATTACCACACTTCCTGCCCTTTTAGGAAAATAGAAAAAAGGTACAGGAAGGGAATAAAGCTTGCATCATCATAAGTATAGTCTTCCTGTTTAATAATGAAAAAGAAATCAAGTGATGGTGGTGAAAATTACCAGTGATGAATGTGATCACAAGATGCTGCTTAGCAGTTTAACTTCACAAAAGTAGAAAAAAAAAAAAAAAAAAAAAAAAAAAAAAAAAAAAAAAAAAAAAAAAAAAAAAAAAAAAAAAAAAAAAAAAAAAAAAAAAAAAAAAAAAAAAAAAAAAAACTTAACTCCAGCAAAATCAAATAGTATTTCTGGGTCACAGGTAAATAACAATCTCTCTGGCTTTAACCCATGAACACCACAAATATTAATGGGTCAATAACCACATAGTATATTACCACACTTCCTGCCCTTTTAGGAAAATAGAAAAAAGGTACAGGAAGGGAATAAAGCTTGCATCATCATAAGTATAGTCTTCCTGTTTAATAATGAAAAAGAAATCAAGTGATGGTGGTGAAAATTACCAGTGATGAATGTGATCACAAGATGCTGCTTAGCAGTTTAACTTCACAAAAGTAGAAAAAAAAATTAAAAACATAAAAAATTACACAATTTTTTTTTTATCAAATGAACACATTTTACAATACAACAAATATGAACAAAAACCAATGAGTAATAGTAACAAAAAATAATTGAAAAATTTAGTGCAACTGGTTAAGAAGTTGCAATGAAGACCAATAATAATATTAATTATAATCCTAAACATGGTAATAATGATAAAAAAAAATATATGAATATAATCTAACGTATTTATTAACCTCAGTGTTCACACTGGGTGAAAAAATGAGATTTCAACTCTGTTTCAATATCTTAAAAAGGAGAAAATGGCCAATGCTTTATTTTAAAAAAAGAACATCAAAATTTTGAATGATGGACCTTCATTATCAAGAGTAAAAATAAATCTTGTGGGAAACGCATCTTTACAATTAGTACACTAAGAGACTCCTGATCCTAACAAACATGTACCTTAATCTTATCACTTGAATAGAAGAAAAAGACTAAAAAAAGTAACACTAAAATCTTATTACTAATGAAAAATAAAAAGTAATCCATTATTTCCAATTAAGCACAATATGAATACCCATCCCCCTCTCTTAAAAAAAATTCCTTCTTTCCTATAAACAGAAAGGCAAGTACTTTTCAATGAACTGAGCACACTATGGTAAACTCTTTACCTTTCCTCTCCCTTTGCTGTAGTGTATCATGAAAATATGAAATAATGCTGATGAAGATGAAAAGTTAAATACCATATACATATGATTTTTTATGTCCTACCAACCCATCAACTAAAACTAGCCTCCAGCAAACTCCATGCACCAACACTGAGAACAATTATCTTTTACTTGGCTTATTATTAATAATATATTTTTTAAATAACTATAATACAGAAATCTTCAGCTGTGTTACTCAACCTTGCAGAACATGAACCATGTAAATGTCTCGTGTAATAATATGTATGTTACAGTTATACCTGCATTACTAAAAATTATCAACACTGACATTTACTCCTGCAAAGAAACTTAGATTAATCAGACATTAACAAGTGTTTCTGGCATTAACTGACTTACGGTATAAAGTCCATTTCAGTCTAAGCAAAACACAAACCTTCTTGGTAGCAATACAGGTATCCTGGAGATGCAAATAACATTAAACTATCATCATACTTTAGGATAGAACTGTATTATACATATACTAGAATTCATTTGGAGATATGAACATGTATCACAAAGATAATTACATTTTTGAGTAAACATATAGAATATGTGCAAAATCTAAATGTATATTAACAATTTCCACACACACACACACAACTGCTCTCCCAAGGGAGTTATACCATCTATGCATTATAAAATGTGGAGACACTTGTAAAATCCCAGCTGCTGATTCAAGTAAAAAATAAAGACCAAAACAGTCGAAAACTGAAAAAATAGAAATTGGAAGTTCCGAATGACAGCTCTCAGAAATGCTTCAAGAGCACACAACTTTGCTGTTTTTCCTCCCATCAAACAGATCTCCATTCCAGGCTGGGTGGCTGGTGCCACATCCACTGTGGGTTGAGGGAGAGCTATGACTCACCCCCAATGCTTCATTTTTCTGGGTGAGAGGGGAGAAAGGGTCACTCAGAGACTCTCTGGGATTAAAAGAATTATCCACATCATGACTGGAAGTTGGTTCTGGCTTCAACACAGAGTTTGGCTGCTTACTGCTGCTACAGTCATCATTTTCATCAGTAGCAAATGACTCTGGGAATCGTGAGAACATGTGATGTGAGGGAGGGGACTGACAAGAATGAAGGAAGGCTGTGTTGGGAGAGCTGGAGAAGTTCTCCCAGGTATCTGGTGGAGACTGTCCCATTGACCATGGGCTTGAGGACGAGTTGGCAGGCAGAGGGCTGGTTGGGGGAGAACTAGCTAACGGCCAGAAGCCATTCTCGGTCGGAGAAGCTGGAGGGTGATCCGTGAATGCTGCAAGATCGTCGATGCCTGCCCATCCCGTTGGGGATGTCCAGGGGAGAGGAGATTTTTGTGCGTGTCTCAACGCAAGTCTGTAAGGTAGGGCAGTCAGTGTGAATACATTTTTTGTAATAGAAAAATATACAAATAAGCTATAATATACACAATTCCATATATCAGAAATCCACTTCACATCCAGACCATTTAGATTCATTAATTTTCAATATTCCTACATTTCATGTACCATAAAAGACATTTATTATAATTATTCATACTTGTACAGCATCTATTTCAAACTGTATAGTTAAGAGATTCTTTTAAAATCTTACAAATTACAGAACAAGATAGAGTAAATGAAAAATCTGAGTATAGAGATGGACAAAAGGGGAGGAAGGGTATGCATAATGCTGGTGAAAGTAATAATTACAGAAGCAGAGGATAGAAGGAGAGCAGTAGCAGTGAAAGTTTAAGCAGAGTAAAGACACCTGGGAGCAGAAGATATTCTTCAAGAAAACCAAAAGAGAAAGGAAGTAATTAAATCAAATAAAAGCCACTCACCTTGAGAATCCTTCATTAAACTCACTGAAGTCTTCAAAGGCATCCTGTTAACAAGGCACACAAACTACATGTTAGTTTCTCCAGGGAGTATTTCAGCTTTCTGGAAATCTTTACTACACGAGACATTGGCCAACCTTCACCTATTATGCAGTACAGTAATTTTTAATCAAAGGAAATAATGATTTTTTGTGTTGGTATATGATGTACAAAGCACAACACAAGTTTAACAAGGAAGTTGTCAGAAATTCATATCCCTTATATGTACAATGAGTGAAGTATGAAAAGGGAACACATGAAAAGGGATAACATGAAATCCACAAAATTATATAATCTTTCTTATAACATTCATCTAAAAATATGGAATTATTAAACACACTGCCCACATTAGATTATGTGTGTTCTTGTTCTGTGTCATTTTACATCAATCTATTATAATCAAAACAAATCATTAGGTTTACTCTAAAATAAATCAATGTTGTAGAACATAAGGAAACAGTATCTGAAAATTTGATGAAAAAAATTCTTAGCTATATTCTTTGCTATGCATATCATGCATATGAATACAGTTCTCTGTCAAAATACAGGAGTAAACTGTGAATTCACAGTTTTTGTGTGCTTTTTCCAAGGATAATCATCATGGCTGGGCATCATTTGCTGTATATAGGCTGATCTGAGAAAATTTATAATTACATGGATTCCTCTGCTTATGATAATTATAAAAAATAGGTTAAAACTGCAATAGGATAAATGTACTTCAGGATAATACATTTAGTACCTAGTTACCACTGAGAGTCTTGAAGAGATTTTTAAAAATAGAAATTTTCCATCTAAAGTTTCATATATACATACAGGTACACCAATCATATACCACATAATTTGATATCTTGATGTTTCAATATGGAAACAAAATTATCAGAGACAACACCACATAGTTGGCCAATTCTCCATCGCCTTCAAACACACAAGGTCCAACAACACAGTTTAAATTACTTATAACTAAAGACACTAAGATTTAAGTGTGGGAAGAATGTCATACCCTGTGAAAATCAAGCAGGGTGAGGAAATTTATAATCAGATGAAGGAAGAATTTCTTTCTTACTGTGGGGTTTCATTTTTCAGAATTATTCAATATCTTTCGGTTCAATGGGAGAGGAATGGCGTAAAATGATATAAAGCTTTAATGCGTAAATGCAGCAAATCAAAATATCTCCCCATAAAACCAAAACAGGCAAAAATGCTCACAACACAGCAATCGTTCTAAAAGAAAGTATAGATTGGTATGTAAATCGTGTAAATCATGCCTCAAGGCTATAATACAAGCATGATAAATCATAAAAGTAAGAATATGTAATCTCAAAGTTATCAATATGCAACACATGTATTATTACTTATGCTGCAAAACCAAAGCTTAAATCTAACTGTGCAAATTGACATCTTGGGACTTCTGTCAATTATATGATCTTCTAAAAACAAAATGGAAAAATCTGAAGATGAATTCCTCTAAATCAAAGATATATTCAGACCCTTACAATACAAAGATATATGTATTCACATCGACATTATTATTAAATTGGCAAGATTCCTTCAACTGATTAAAAACATTCAAGTCTTCACACACAACTGTCAAACTAACAAAACACTACTTGCCTTATAAAACTATTTCGGTCCTTGCTATTCCTTATACAAAAGGAAATGTCAATATTAGTTTCACCTCTCCTTACTTTTTGAAAGTGACTACTAAATCCAGTATTTCTTAAGATGAAGTAATTACAATACCAAATAACTTATTGATAAAACTCCAAAATCTACAACTTAGTTAACTGCAATATTAGCAATACATAATTCTTATACTCAATTCCTGCAACAAAACTGATTACCAGAAAAACATTTCTGGAACTGCCATAAAATATTGGTAAAATTATAAGAATACAGACACTGAGAGGCTCAACTTCAGTTCTTAAATAATTATACAAAAAAAAAGAGACATTACCACTTCTTTAATCAATGCTTCACTATTCTGACTTTGCATGTTGCACTATTAATTTTCAATACTCTACAAGCCACTTATACTTTCAATATTACTTGTAGACAAAGTACTACTGTGGGAACTATCTTACTAGACCTCTTTTCACTGAATTACACTTTTCCGAATGCCATATACATGTATGCAGGGCAGCTTCTTAAGGTTAGTGTAATACAAAATCCAATTACCTTAAAACTACAGTACTTTCTAATATGGAAAAAATCTAAAATATACTCCAAACAAATGCTACAGCCTCCCACCCCTATGAGGCATAAGAGTCAAAAACATTAATCAACAAAAATGGAAAACTCACCCAAGGTTTACTGATGATGTTCTTGCTTAAACTTGCTTTATTTTTGGTTTCCGCGGTTATATCGGACGAGTCGTCCAAATCAATTAAAAGTGCTTGTGTACTGGACTGGTAACCTGTTGAGCGAAAGGATGCATTAAAGCAAATCAAGGTAATATAGCAATCCCTAGCCAGAATATTTGTGACAACTGTAATGGGGAAAAATATACAGCAGAAAATCCTACCACGTAAGAATACTTCTGTACTTGTCACATATATAAAATAGCAAGTTCTTATCAAGTTGAAAAATAGAACATTATTAAGTCTCATTTTCATCTCCACTTTTAACTGTCTACCTCAATATATAGGTAGGAAGAAAAAGGAGGGAGGAAGGAGGAAGAAAGAAAAAGGAGGAGGAAGGAGGAAGAAAGAAAAAGGAGGAGGAAGGAGGAAGAAAGAAAAAGGAGGAGGAAGGAGGAAGAAAGAAAAAGGAGGAGGAAGGAGGAAGAAAGAAAAAGGAGGAGGAAGGAGGAAGAAAGAAAAAGGAGGAGGAAGGAGGAAGAAAGAAAAAGGAGGAGGAAGGAGGAAGAAAGAAAAAGGAGGAGGAAGGAGGAAGAAAGAAAAAGGAGGAGGAAGGAGGAAGAAAGAAAAAGGAGGAGGAAGGAGGAAGAAAGAAAAAGGAGGAGGAAGGAGGAAGAAAGAAAAAGGAGGAGGAAGGAGGAAGAAAGAAAAAGGAGGAGGAAGGAGGAAGAAAGAAAAAGGAGGAGGAAGGAGGAAGAAAGAAAAAGGAGGAGGAAGGAGGAAGAAAGAAAAAGGAGGAGGAAGGAGGAAGAAAGAAAAAGGAGGAGGAAGGAGGAAGAAAGAAAAAGGAGGAGGAAGGAGGAAGAAAGAAAAAGGAGGAGGAAGGAGGAAGAAAGAAAAAGGAGGAGGAAGGAGGAAGAAAGAAAAAGGAGGAGGAAGGAGGAAGAAAGAAAAAGGAGGAGGAAGGAGGAAGAAAGAAAAAGGAGGAGGAAGGAGGAAGAAAGAAAAAGGAGGAGGAAGGAGGAAGAAAGAAAAAGGAGGAGGAAGGAGGAAGAAAGAAAAAGGAGGAGGAAGGAGGAAGAAAGAAAAAGGAGGAGGAAGGAGGAAGAAAGAAAAAGGAGGAGGAAGGAGGAAGAAAGAAAAAGGAGGAGGAAGGAGGAAGAAAGAAAAAGGAGGAGGAAGGAGGAAGAAAGAAAAAGGAGGAGGAAGGAGGAAGAAAGAAAAAGGAGGAGGAAGGAGGAAGAAAGAAAAAGGAGGAGGAAGGAGGAAGAAAGAAAAAGGAGGAGGAAGGAGGAAGAAAGAAAAAGGAGGAGGAAGGAGGAAGAAAGAAAAAGGAGGAGGAAGGAGGAAGAAAGAAAAAGGAGGAGGAAGGAGGAAGAAAGAAAAAGGAGGAGGAAGGAGGAAGAAAGAAAAAGGAGGAGGAAGGAGGAAGAAAGAAAAAGGAGGAGGAAGGAGGAAGAAAGAAAAAGGAGGAGGAAGGAGGAAGAAAGAAAAAGGAGGAGGAAGGAGGAAGAAAGAAAAAGGAGGAGGAAGGAGGAAGAAAGAAAAAGGAGGAGGAAGGAGGAAGAAAGAAAAAGGAGGAGGAAGGAGGAAGAAAGAAAAAGGAGGAGGAAGGAGGAAGAAAGAAAAAGGAGGAGGAAGGAGGAAGAAAGAAAAAGGAGGAGGAAGGAGGAAGAAAGAAAAAGGAGGAGGAAGGAGGAAGAAAGAAAAAGGAGGAGGAAGGAGGAAGAAAGAAAAAGGAGGAGGAAGGAGGAAGAAAGAAAAAGGAGGGAGGGAGGAAGAAAGAAAAAGGAGGGAGGGAGGAAGAAAGAAAAAGGAGGAGGAAGGAGGAAGAAAGAAAAAGGAGGGGAAGAGGAGAAGGAGGAGGAAGAGGAGGAAGAGGAGGAAGGAAGAGGAAGGAAGAGGAAGGAAGAGGAAGGAGGAGGAAGGAAGAGGAAGGAGGAGGAAGGAAGAGGAAGGAGGAGGAAGAGGAGGAAGGAGGAGGAAGGAAGAGGAAGGAAGAGGAAGGAAAGAGGAAGGAGAGGAAGGAAGGAGGAAGGAGGAGGAAGGAGGAGGAAGAGGAGGAAGGAGGAGGAAGAGAGGAGGAAGGGAGGAAGGAGAAGGAAGGAGGAAGGAGGAGGGAGGAGAAAGGATGTGGAAGGAGGAAGGAGGAGGAAGAGGAGGAGGAGGAGGAGGAGGAAGAGGAGGAAGAGGAGGAAGGAGGAGGAAGAGGAGGAAGAGGAGGAAGGAGGAGGAAGAGGAGGAAGGAGAAGAAAGGAGGAAGAGAGAGAGGAAGGAGGAAGAGGAGGAAGGAAGGAGGAAGAGGAGGAAGGGAGGAGGGAAGAGGAGAGAAGAAGGAGGAGGAAGGAGGAAGGAGGAAGAAGAAAGAAGGAGGAGGAAGGAGGAAGAAGAAAGAAGGAGGAGGAAGGAGGAAGGAGGAAGATGAAGTAAGAAAGAGGAGGAAGAAGTAAGGAGGAGGAAGGAGGAAGAAGGAGGAAGGAAGAGGAGGAAGGAGGAGGAAGAGGAGGAAGGAGGAGGAAGGAGGAGGAAGGAGGAGGAGGAAGGAGGAAGGAGGAGGAAGGAAGGAGGAGGAGGAGGAAGAGGAGGAGGAGGAGGAGAGGAGGAGGAGGAAGAGGAGGAAGGAGGAAGAGGAGGAAGGAGGAAGAGGAGGAAGGAGGAGGAAGAGGAGGAGGAGGAGGAAGAGGAGGAAGGAGGAGGAAGAGGAGGAAGGAGAAGGAAGAGGAGGAGGAAGGAGGAGGAGGAAGAGGAGGAGGAGGAAGAGGAGGAGGAGGAGGAAGAGGAGGAAGGAGGAGGAAGAGGAGGAAGGAGGAGGAAGAGGAGGAAGGAGGAGAGGAGGAAGGAGGAGGAAGGAGGAGGAAGGAGGAGGAAGAGGAGGAAGGAGGTGGAGGAAGGAGGAAGGAGGAGGGAGGAGGAGGGAGGAGGAGGGAGGAGGAAGGAGGAGGAAGAGGAGGAAGGAGGAGGAAGAGGAGGAAGGAGGAGGAAGAGGAGGAAGGAGGAGGAAGAGGAGGAAGGAGGAGGAAGAGGAGGAAGGAGGAGGAAGAGGAGGAAGGAGGAGGAAGAGGAGGAAGCAGAGAAAAGAAGAGGAGGAAGCAGAGAAAAGAAGAGGAGGAAGCAGAGAAAAGAGGAGGAAGCAGAGAAAAGAAGAGGAGGAGGAAGGAGGAGGAAGCCTAGAAAAGCAAGAGGAGGAGGAGGAGGAGAAAGTATTGGAAAGGAGGAAGAGAAAGCTTAGACAAAACAAAAAAAAAAAGAGGAGGGGCAGGAGGTGAAGAAACCAGGGGGCCAAAAAAAAAAAAAAAAAAGGTAGGCAAAGAAGAGAAGATCAGAAAAAAAAGGTCAAATCCCACCACACCAGCAGCAGAGCAATTCCCAAACCTGAGGAGCTGTTGTCCGAGGAGCCAAAATCCGACCGAATGGGGATGGGCGAAGAGGACTGGCTGGACGGTTGGTGCTGGACGACGGCGGGCGTGGGCGTGTGGGTCCCCCCGCCGGGAGCCACCTGCTGTTGGGGGGGGGGGTTGGAAAGGTACACGGAGAACTTGGTATATAACCTTAGTTTCTAGTTTCGGGTTTACTATTATTAAGTTCGACTGTGAATTTAGTCGGCTTGTGAGATTCAACTTTGTGATTTAGTTTTTGTAAGATTTGGGAGGTAACCATGTTTTTTTTTTATCTAGCATTTCACTTACTACCCAGCTTTACAAAAAACTTGTACTTGAGTGAGTGAGTGAGTGAGAGAGAGAGAGAGAGAGAGAGAGAGAGAGAGAGAGAGAGAGAGAGAGAGAGAGAGAGAGAGAGAGAGAGAGAGAGTGAGAGAGAGAGTGAGAGAGAGAGTGAGAGAGAGAGTGAGAGAGAGAGTGAGAGAGAGAGTGAGAGAGAGAGTGAGAGAGAGAGTGAGAGAGAGAGTGAGAGAGAGAGTGAGAGAGAGAGTGAGAGAGAGAGTGAGAGAGAGAGTGAGAGAGAGAGTGAGAGAGAGAGTGAGAGAGAGAGTGAGAGAGAGAGTGAGAGAGAGAGTGAGAGAGAGAGTGAGAGAGAGAGTGAGAGAGAGAGTGAGAGAGAGAGTGAGAGAGAGAGTGAGAGAGAGAGTGAGAGAGAGAGAGTGAGAGAGAGAGTGAGAGAGAGAGAGTGAGAGAGAGAGAGAGAGTGAGAGAGAGAGATAGAGAGAGAGAGTGAGAGAGAGAGAGAGAGAGAGAGAGAGTGAGAGAGAGAGAGAAAGTGAGAGAGAGTGAGAGAGAGTGAGAGAGAGTGAGAGAGAGAGAGAGAGTGAGAGAGTGCAATCTGTTATTTTGTCCATGTTTTTGAAACCACGTGTCTAATAAAACAACTGAGACTCACCTTGACCTCAGCAGGGAGCTCCTCATTGGCATAGATTTCCCCGTTCTTGCTCTCCACCGCCATCTTCCAATACTCGTAAGCCAAATTGAAGGCCTGGGCAATCGAGATTGTTACAGCCTGAGCCTGGAAAAAAAGGGCACGATATGCAGATTACATATAAAACCCCCACAAAAAAAATCAATAAACAGCTATCTGTCAATACATTCAAGACGCCTCAAGTACTTGCAAAGTGACCCAAGACGACTCTGAACGACTCTAGATGACTCACCATCTTCCTCTTGGGGCACAAGAAAGCGTGGCACTCGCAGATCTCATTGTCACTGGTGGCGATGAAGGCGAAGACGTGGTCGTAGTGGGCGTCCGCCGAACAGTACGAGATCCTGAAAGAGTTGCAAGCTGTTAAAGAGAGCGTGATATGCGCATGGTGTGGGGGTGGAGAGGGGAGAGGGGAAAGGAGACAGATGGAAGAGAAGGGATAGAGGGGGCAGAGATGGTGACAGAGATGGGGACAGAAGGGGGTGAGCAGAGGGGGATAGGGGGAGAAGGGAGGGAGAGGAGCGACAAAAATAGACACGGACACACCGACCGACTTCCAGACAGACACCAAAGCTGCATAAAAAAAAAGGTAACGATAATACCGTACTTCCAACGCAGACATTTATAAATAGGTTTTCATCGAGATCAAGTCACGCTGACCTAGACACACGGCGTGAGTTTCCTGCCGAATAAACGGGACACACATAACGACGCATTTACATGCGACTTGCCTTTATCACCCCTCCTTCCCCTCTCCCCCACCCCTCTAACCTAATTTATATCGCTATCACTTTGTTTCTTATCAATCGTCTGAATTCGTTCTTTCGTTATCTTGTTTTCCTTCCGTCATAGTCTCCTCTACTTTTCCGCATCTGACTTCATAAATCCTTTCTCTTCCTCCTCCCCTTCTCTCAGGATTAACCACTCACCACTCAACCATTTACTGCTACAGCCACCAACACCAAGATCTTCATACTGTATATTACAACGCAATTTACTGCCCTAGCTAAGATTAAGACAATAAACTAAGAACCCGTTTACATACCGAAGAAAACTAAGTCAGAAGAGTCATCTAGGGTGATGGCGTACCCTATCACCTTCTCCCACTCCGTCTCCTAGCTCTCTCACCCTTCCCCTTCCCCTTCCCGTCCGACTCTCCTACTTCCCCTTCCCCTTCCCCTTCCCGTCCCCCTCTCCTCCTTCCCCATCCCCTCTTCCCTTCCCCTTCCCCTCTTCCCTTCCCCTTCCCATCCCCCTCTCCCTCTCCCCCTTCCCTTTCCCGTTCCCCTCTCCCCCTTCCCCTTCCCCTTCCCGTCCCCCTCTCCTCCTTCCCCTTCCCCTTCCCGTCCCCCTCTCCTCCTTCCCCTTCCCCTTCCCGTCCCCCTCTCCTCCTTCCCCTTCCCCTCTTCCCTTCCCCTTCCCATCCCCCTCTCCCTCTCCCCCTTCCCCTTCCCGTTCCCCTCTCCCCCTTCCCCTTCCCCTTCCCGTCCCCCTCTCCTCCTTCCCCTTCCCCTTCCCGTCCCCCTCTCCTCCTTCCCCTTCCCCTTCCCCTTTCCGTCCCCCTCTCCTCCTTCCCCTTCCCCTTCCCCTTTCCGTCCCCCTTTCCCCCTTCCCCTTTCCCTTCCCCTTTTCCGTCCCCCTCTACCCCTTCCCCTTCCCCTTCCCCTTCCCTTCCAGTCCCCCTTCCCCCTTCCCTTCTCCCTCTCTCTTCTCCTTATGTGCTCCTCGACTCGCTTTGTTTACAAGTGCGCGCCGACCCACGTGGCCGCCACACCCGAAGGTCACGACGCGGACGGCGTACTACTACGCGCACTGCTCCGCCCCCTCGCTCGTAGCGTGGCACACCGCAGACGTTTTTTCACTTGGTTTTCAACTTGTGGTTAACGGTCTCTTCGGCGCCAGCGCAGACAGAATCCGCTGACGGATGGACTCGCATCCCGTCGGGACCGGTTCGAAAAAGGCAGGGGGTCGCGTCGATCAGGACCCGAGACCGTCCGTTTCTCAGCCGATCGGCTCATCCCGCCTTCGACCCCGATTTAAAGAAGCCCCAAGCGTTCAAGCAAGCGCCTGTTTGACGCCGCAGCTGTCCCAGTGATGAGGGAGGGAGGGAGGGAGGGAGGGAGGGGGGAGAGAAATTCTAGGGCTGGCACAGAAAACCAAGGTTGCGGCCAGGGCATGTAGTGGGAAGGAAGAGGAGGCGAGTGGGGGTCACCAGTACAAATAAAAAGGAAGAGGAGGATGGAAGTGGTCCCTCCACGTGTACTTAGTGACCAGCGCCACTGATACCCTTGAAGAAATGCACTTATCATGGTGTTGCCATGCACGGCGCCGAAACTCTTCCTTATGACCAAAGATGACTTGCACGAGGTTTACTCTGCAGTTATCCTCCCCTCCGTTCTTCCTTGGTCACCTGTATGCTTTGGCTCCCTCCTTTATCACACCTCTGAATTGTATCTGAATTGTGGTTGTATCAAATAATTCACCAAGCCTCCTTCACGGTCGCCCAACCTTAAAAGTCAGCTCGCTCCCCCCCCCCCCCTCCCCATCAATTCCACTCTTCTTCCTTCTCCCTTTCTCTCACCTTCTTCCTTGCTTTCTCTCTCAACCCATCGAGCAAAAGGTGAGAAGAAAGTGCGTATCACTCTCTCCGTCCCCCTTCCTCCCCTCCCCCTCCCACACACACATTCGCCCCCCTCCCCACCCACCCCTCCCTCACTTGGCCGGGTGCACCTGTACCCGCTTCGAAACGTAAACAACTCAGCCGACTCAGCAAATGTTGCCAGAAACTACACGTGCTTCTTTCCCTTCCCCCCCCCCCTCCAGTCTTTTTTCCCCTCTTTTTTCCCCCTCTGCCTCATGAAGCCTCCCAATACTGGTCTCGATGCCTAACGCGATTCCTCCTAACTGACAACACACGCAAAAAAATACCAAGGGAGGAGCCAGGACAGGGGAAGGGAAAGGAAAAATGACAGGGAAAGGGACAGGGACAAGGACAGGGAAAGGGATATGATAAAAGGGGAAGGGGTAGGGATAGGGACAAGGGAAGGGGTAGGGATAGGGATAGGGGAAGGGACAGGGGAAGGGGTAGCGGTAGTGATAGGGGAAGGGGTAAGGGTAGGGATAGGGGTAGGTGAAGGGACAGGGGAAGGGACAGGGGAAGGGGTAGCTGTAGTGATAGGGGAAGGGGTAAGGGTAGGGATTGGGGTAGGTGTAGGGGTAGGTGTAGAGATAAGGATAGGGATAGGGACAGGGATAGGAACAGGAATAGGAATAAGGACAGGGACAGGGGTAGGGGAAAGACAAGTGGTAGGGGCAGGGGTAGGGACAGGGGAGAGGTAGGGGAATTGAAAGAGGAAGGGGAAGAAAGGCGATAAAAGGGGAAGGGAAAAATTAAGGGAAAGGATATGAAGGGGATAGGGGATGAGGAACGGAAAAAAAAGGGAAGTGGAAGGGAAAAAAAGCACAGGTAAGGACAGGAGGTGGGGAAGGGGTAGGGGAGGAGGTGGGGAAGGGGCAGGGGAGGAACAGGGGAAGAAGGGCAGGGGAAGAAGGGCAGGGGAAGAGGGAATGCCAAGTATTACGGCACACTCCGGCCCTGGCGCACTCTCTCGACGTCTGGTATGTCTGCCCCCGTGATAATTTTTTTGTAGGCATGTTCGTGTTTGTGTGTGTGCATGTTTGTGTGTGTGTGTGGGGGGGGGGGGGGGTTCGACTTGCATTTCTCAACCATTTTTTTTTCACATGTGGCTTATTACTTCGTGTATAACCAAGATGACAATGCCCCCCCCCCCCCCGTCCGCTCGATTCGCGCACCGTAGGCAGAGGCCAACATTCCTCCAACTCTGTCAACAACACGGAGAAGTCCTTGGACATCACCCTTCACAGCCCAACGACTACGGAACAGAAAAAAAGGAAAGTAATCAACATTGCAGGGTCTACGCCACAACACAAAGGGCTAATATGAAATAAATAAATATATATATATATATATATATATATATATATATATATATATATATATATATATATATATATATATATATATATATATATATACACTATATGCATGCATGCATACATATATATATTATATGCATGCATACATACATATATATATTATATGCATGCATACATACATATATATATTATATGCATGCATACATATACAGACATATACACAGACATATACAGACATATACATGCATATGAGAAAGGTGAGAAAGAAGCAAATTAATAAGAAAAAGGGAAGAGAGAAAAGGCAAATCAGAATAAAACGAATCGAGAGAGAAACAAACGGTGACTCCAATAATGTCAATACACGCGGAGAGGGGAGGGGGGGGGGGTCTCGATCTCGGCCTTTGATCAATGCGTTGTTTCGGAACTTAAAGATGACCCTTTGACCTATCTCGCTGAGGGTCACACTTGTAGCGGTGAGGGCAGAGGATGAGAGCGGAGAGCAATGGAGGGTGGAGAGAGGGGAGGGAGGGAATGGGAGGGTGGAGAGGAGAGGAGAGGGGAGGGAGGGAATGGGAGAGTGGAGAGAGGGGAGGGAGGGAATGGGAGAGTGGAGAGAGGGGAGGGAGGGAATGGGAGAGGGGAGAGGAGAGGAGAGGGGAGGGAGGGAATGGGAGAGGGGAGAGGAGAGGGGAGGGAGGGAATGGGAGAGTGGAGAGAGGGGAGGGAGGGAATGGGAGAGGGGAGAGGAGAGGAGAGGGGAAGGAGGGAATGGAGGGCGGAGGGCGGAGAGGGAGAAGGAGAAAACTGGCCGGAGAAAGGTACGAAGAGCGAGTGGAAAATAAAGATGTAGAAGCGAGAGAGGGATGGGACGGAGAAGGAAGAGGGGCAGAAAGGGGGAAAGAGGAAGCTGGAACGGGGAGAAAAGTGAAAGTCGGCGACGATGACGAAGACGAAGAACGATGGAATGAAACAGAATAGGAGAAGCGAAGTAGAGACAGACAAAGATACAGACAGAGCGAGAGAGGAAGAAGCTAGACGGGTGTGTGAGGGGGGGGGGGTTACCACAGGGGACTAATTTTATCCCCTGGCCTTGAAAAAGTTCACTGACCTCACGGGAGAAGAAAAAGAAAACAGGAAGAAAATAGGGACAAAGAGCAAGAAAATGTAAGAGGAGACAGAGCATGGGCATAAATGCACCAAGGACTAATAAAAGTAGGAGGGGGCAGAGGGATGATAGTGAGAAAGGAACGGGGAGAGGGGAGAGGGAAGAGTGAGGGACGAGAGAGACGGGAGGGAAGGGAGAGACGGGAGGGAAGGGAGAGACGGGAGGGAAGGGAGAGACGGGAGGGAAGGGAGAGACGGGAGGGAAGGGAGAGACGGGAGGGAA